AAAAATGTTCTTTAATTTGTCTTAACTGATTTCAGATAATTTAAAAAGCAAACAATTTATTAATTTCGTAGATGTGAGCAGCTATTTCTTTTCTGGTGTTTCCTTTAAGAAAACACTGAAAGCATTCACGGCACAGAGAACATTAAAAACCATCTCTGATGTGTTTGTGGCATCTGTGGCCTACTTTAGGGAATAGTACCAAGCTGCAAAAAGATGGCTGAAGTGACTGGAGTTATTTTTAATACAGTATGGTGCATCTCACCCAGCCAGGAAATAAAGGCCTTTTTGTTTTTAGATGAAGAGTCTTGGGAGTTCATTTCTCCACACAGTAAAAACCTCAAAACAGAAATTTGCAGTGTAAATCTAGGCTATCACCTCACCTACTCCCAAGATTTGTCCTCAAGCAAGGTACTTAAATTCAGATTGGTTTATGTTCCCAAAATGTGTCTGTCTAACATTGTGATGGGCTTAAAGCTAGACATAAAAATGCCAACTGTCAAAATAATTGTCACAGGACCAATTATTTGAGATTAGAAGTCTCAGGAATCTCCTCTGAGACCTGACTAATCTGCAGCAGAGGCTCCCACTTTGTCACGCAGAAACCATGAGGGTTTAAAAAAGTAATTGTAGTTTGAGTCAGTTCATAGTGTCAGTATGCTGTGTTTTATTGGCTGAAAGCGAGGATTTATATAACCACTCCTGCCTATACTGTGTATTTGCATATTTGTTTATAAAATGCAAATGTAGTGCTTTGAGATGAGATGCTAATAATGCTTAAGTGGCACGTTGATATGCGACTGTGTGTGTGTGTGTGTCCCTGGCATGCAAATGTAGCTGTGGAAGATGCCAAAGAGAATATTCACCTCAGGCATGTTAAATGTCAAAAAGTACAAAAGAGTGTGTGCTTAAATGTGTGTTGATTCACTGTCACCTGCTTGGAATTTAACTACGAACACAGATGAAGTGCCCGCCTGCACTGTGTGTGTGTGTGTGTGTGTTTGCTTGTATTCCTCATGTTGTGGGGACATTATAAAGTCAGTCACATGTGGGGACAGGGGGAGGGTGAAAAACAAGTCCTCCTAATATTAGTATTAGATTACTACATTTGAAAGTGAATTCCTGGTTTATTATTAGACTTCCAATAAATTATGGCAAGTCCATGTAATGTCCTCAGAAGTAATGGAAACAGGACTCTGCGATGATTGCTGGTTACTTGACACATGGTCTAAACGCTGGGATTACTGACATTAGCTAAATTAGATTCCAGTGTGTGCACATATCTGGATGTGTACACACTTGGACGGCTGTGTGCAGGTTGGGGCACACGGAGGGGGCCGACTGCAGGTGTCCATGAATATTTTAATATTTCAGTCTTGTCTCATATTGCTTTCTGTTGACCTCCCATCTCACTGCCTGCCACTCACAATGAAAGAAGAAGGAAGAGAGAGGAAGGAGGAAACGACGAGTAAAAGAGAGGGAGGGTGTTGAAGAAGAGGGACCTGAAAGAGAACGGGGAAGACGGCTTCTTGCACCATTTCCCATAGCTCCCTTTGTGACCACAACTGTCAGTTAGGAAGGAAGAAAAGATGAGGGGCTAGGGTGAGTGAGCGCATGAGTGCTTGCATGGTGAAGGTGGTGGGGGGCTTCTTGCTGCTGGTTTTTGTTGTTTGAGGAGCGAGAGAGGCAGGATTGTAGGATAATACAGGGGTAAAAAAATTTTTTTTACACTTTATGAAAACCTTTTTGTTTGTTTAGTTTTTCGCCTGTGGTTTTCAAGCAGGAGAGTGGAAATAATTGATAAAAAATCCAGTTTCAGAGATCTTCACAGACTGGTGTGGGGAAATTGCCCCTGAGTCTTCTGACCCACTGACCCTGTGTCAGCGTCTGCAGAAGGAGGAGCATTTTACATCTATCAGAGAGGTACACTCTCTCTCTCTCCTGGCTTTTCATCACTGTTTCTGATGTTGATCCATTACTTATTGTTGTTTGTATTGTTGTGATGTGTTGTTTGTTTATTTGTTTTCCCTTTTTGTTCCTCAACTTTAATGGGTAATACTAAAACATTATCTGTGTACAGTACCACGCAAAAGTAATGATTACTTTATATTTTTTCCTTCCAAGCCAGCCAACCCATTGTAAATTTGTTCTGTCTTTAGGCACTTTGTTACTAGCAGCCTGTGACAGAAGCACATCATTTTTCACATTTCTTTAGTCAAAGATAACACGTTTATATGTGTGTGTGTGTGTGTGTTGGATATAAATTAAACTGTCTGCCTTAATCTTAAGCCAGACACTACAGCTTATATACAGCTCACCTGCCCTAACTATAAGCTAAAAAAGAGCTTATAGTTAGGGCAGGTGACCCTGAACCACTCCTGAATTATGATCCTATAGGCTCAGATTGCTACAGGACTTGCACAGCACTTCACGTTCTTCTTTTCTCACTTCTTTTTATTTCCCACCTATTTATATATCACTGCAAGATGTCGTTAAACTTTGCCTGTTTTTCCTTCTCACAGTTACAAAGTGCTTGCTTTTAGGGAGTTATTTGATTCTAGGGCTTTTCTCTCAAATACTCTGGGCTCTTTAAGCATCTCGAGGAAAACTGTTTTTGTGATCCGGTGCTTTTACCTTCATTTAAAGGAATTGGACAAGTGAAGGACGACAGAAGTAATGACAGGCCTAAGGAGGGAAAAAAAAGCTTCAACAGAAAAACAGTATGGGAAAGTCATGTCCCCAAGAAATAGGGGGGGATACAGCAAAGACCTGACACAAGACCTGAGAGATGCATCTGGCCCTTCAGTTGATCCATCTACTGTTCACTGAAGGGCCAGTGCAGGGTCTCAGTGAAGGGTGGCTGTCAAGAAGCCATTCATAAGAAGGGAAACAGGGAGAAAAGGCTGATATATGTCAAATTACACAAGAATTGGACTTAAAATCAGTCACAACAGGCCTTAGGAAGGAATCTCAATTTGAAAGTTTTGGTTCAAATCATCAACATGAACAACAGTGAGTCTCTACAGCCATCTGTAAAACCTGGTAGAGCTTCCATCATGTTAGACTTCAACATTACTGAAGCAGTGTGGGATCATCTTGACAGAGAACGGAACAAAAAGCAGCCAACGTCCAAAGAAGAGCTTTGAATGTCCTTCAAAAAAGCCTGGCCACGTGTACCTGGAGACTGCTTAAATAAATTAGAATAAAGCCTAAGAGAGACTGTACTGAAGAATAAAGGTGTTCTTAGAAAATATTGACTTTCATCCTTATTAGAATTGAACAAACAGTTTTTGCCTTGTAGTGTGTATTTACATTTATGTTTGCACATTTCAACAAATTACTGCAAATCCTTCTTAATTCCCTTACAAATATAAAGAAATGGGGGCTGGGAGGAGAGCTTTGCTTTGATGTCAACATGTCTATCAGTCTTAACAATATTTATCTTTTGTCTTAACCCAAATCCAAAAGTATGGTATGAAGGGAATTCCATCCAGCAACTGTTTCTTTCTCTAAAAGTGGACTGCCTTGCAGATAGACTCAGTGTGATCCCTACAGCTACAAAGATTAAAGAAAATGTATATTTGCTCTCAGGCTCCTGGACTGGTAATGTCACCTGACCGCCTGCCTTCCATTGGTTCATCTGGGACTAAATCAACAGGTAATCAATGAGATTCAAGGACTATATTACTGAAGAGTTAGACAAAGTGATCTAAATCACAGCTATTATAATTAATGAGTGTTTTATTTTGTGCAATGTGGTTATTTCTGTGGCAGAGTTGCCCTTTTGACAGTGCAAGCTCTCCA